GTACACAGGCTGTTTTTTCGTAGCCCGTAATGTCAAGTGTCTTTGAACTCGTCTGGGAGAGAAATCGTCGAGGAAAAAGCAAATAAGCTCTCCGACCCGGCTGATCGAATTAATTGCTTTTTAGACGGAGATCTTCCGTCTCATCGCACGTTGCGTCAGTCTCTGAAACTTCGGAACATCCTGTTGCATTTGATGGTACCACTGATATATCTCGTGTCCTGCTGTGTTCGACAGCTCCGCACGTTCATTTTGGTGTCAACAGGTGCTTTCACAAGTCCGGATCCGGTTTATTGCATCCGCAATGGATTTAATAGTCGCGCGAGTCATTCGCGCGATTTTATCGGTGAGCGCGTAGTCGATCGACACTTGTCCCTCTCGCACCGCGTGTCTTCGCCAGTAATCGCGCCCCGGCAGTATTCGTCTTATCAGTATCTCATTCGAGAGTCTCGAATGAGACGCGCGGGACCGATAGCGTTCTACGAAAGTACGCTCGGCTCCCGCGTCCAACACGAAATGTCGATTTCGACTTAAAAATGGAAAAGGGAAAAGGATTCCTTAGATCAGCGATGTGATTCCTCTCCTTCAAGACTTTACCGATCGTAGCGAAATATCTCGAGGTCCCGTTGAAGCGAGGAGTCTAAGCGAAAGTTTACGTGCTGCCGTCGATCACGTTGTGGATCGCGGATCGAGACTGAGCGAATGGCGAAGGTGCAAATAAACACGCGGGTTATGTTCGCGTAACTTTCCAGAGAGGTACAACGGACGCACGTGATGCAGAAGCACGAGGCGCGTGCCGATCGCGCGAGGAAACGGATTTCGTAATCGAGAGGCGATTCTTCCTCGCGATCGCGTTAGATTTTGACGAAGACTCGATCGACGATCGAGCGAGGGTCGATTTGTCCTCGGAGAAATGTCGAGACCTCGGCAATATCTTTGTCGACGATCATGGCTTGTAAAATCATAAAGAAATCGACGGAAAGAATCGTGAAAATACGATAAAGATTCCGGCGAGGAATGTGAGAATGTTAGCTCGAATAGACCTGTTCTTTTTACCTGAACTTCTCGCACGGTTCATCTTTCCTCCTTTTCTTTTCACGTTGGAGAGAAAAAGAAAAAAGATGAACTGTACGAGAAGTTTAGGTAAAAAGAACAGGTCTTACACTTTCGAAGGAGATGTAACTGCACGGAGAAAAATATACGACAAATGCACGAATATGTAGTTGGGGGGGAGTGCTTCAAACATTCTTGAAAAATAAATACTTTTTCTTGTTAAACTTGTGCCATGTATCTGTGCAATCGTATACAATATATAGTTGGCTCTTTGGAATATTAAATTATAAGCAGCTGCGGAAGAGAGTTTAAAATAAAATAAATATGCTGAAGAAAACAATAAATATTTATGTATTTTCTTCTTTTTCTTTTTTTCTCTCTGCTAATAATTAAAATAAAACAAATTAATATAAAGAATGATAATAAACTAAATTAAAACAAAAACGATATCAATAATGTTCTAGTTTTAGTTATAATATAACTAAATTTTCGTCATATTATGACAAAAATTGTGCTCATCCGATGCAGCATAAAAATCAGATAGCCATTCCCAACATCCAATATGCGATAAAATATTAAAAATACCTGCCTGTTACGCGCATATTTCTTTTTAAATGCCGATAGTCCCGTGTATAATGTCTGTCGATTTTTTTAAATTGTTAAGCAGGTTGGTTGACGTCCCGCTGCAGGGCAGGAGGAAAGCATATAGATTAGATTTTCGTCGCGTGAAATAAACAAATTTTAGCAAATAAATATGTGGAATGCATCCAATTGCTGTTTCTTAAGGTTTAAAAAGAGTTGTTTGTAGTGTCTGTACAATTGAAACTCAAATACGTTATTATTTACGTTGAAATGTGGAAATAATAAATGTGCGATTCTGTTTTATTTTTACAATTTCTTGATAACTATAAAGACGAATCATTTCAGTCTTCGAGAAAGCTCTTCCTAAATATATGTAAAAAATTATTTGCACCTATTTTCATTAAATTTTCATCATTTTTAATATGCTTTCGAGAGTTAATTACATTACAGGTTAGATCCGTTAGATAATATTTTTATGCAACACGTGCATGGAAAGTGCCCCATTACGCACGCTACGCGTGCGTGATAGACCACTTTCCAGGCACTTGCAACATAAAATAGGGAGTGTAAGCCGTGTGTAAAGATGAAAATACCTCACTTGTTACACAAATAACTATTGCTGTGTCGCCCGTGTATAAGAGAGAGACAAAAGTATAACTTCAATAATATAATTAATTACTCGACAACTATGTAGACAATTGGCATGGACGATAGATTCCCATAGACGAATATCCTCCATAGAACTAATTCTTATCAAATTGAATTGAGCAACCACCCTCCTTAATAAAGCAGCTACGAAAGGGACAGTTTAAAATCCGCTCATAAAAAAGAGATTTTATTGTTGATATTTTTTCGCAATGCTGATAGTTCTGTCATTGCGCTGGCTTCGTGTGCATCTGTTATCGCATATTTTGACAGTTTTAAGCGTTGTCTATAATGGCAGCAGGAGTATGCAGTAAGACGTAAGCAGTAAGTTATTGACTAATGGGATTTTTACAATTCAAGAATAATCCACTGCGGTTGGTCAATAACTTACTGCTTACGCCTTACTGCATTCTCCTGCTGCCATTGTAGACGACGCATTAATATGTATCAAGGGTTAATAGTGTAATAGTAAAAGTATAATGTTAAAGCTAAATAGCGCGCGCGAAGCGCGCGTCTGTGATGTCCAGTTAAATAAATAAGTCGAAAGAAAATAGTACAATATACATGTGTTTTCTTCTCTCTTTGTTAATAGTTCAAATAAAAGATTACAAAAACAGATTAGTATAAAGAATGATAATAAGTTAAATTGAAACAAATTTATCATTAACGATGTCAAAAACGTTCATCTAGTTTCAAGTTTTATATGACAAAAATCAAGAGACACGGTATAGTGTCTCGTGCCAAATACACGCGCAGCGCAAGACCGCCGTGTGACTCGAATCTTTTACGCGAACGCACGAGTTGCAAGTACTCGAGATTTTGAGATCTTAGTAACAAGTAAACGGATCAAGTTCTAAGTAGTCATGTTTACTCGAGGCAGCGTAAAAGAATCTGCTATTTTCAACGTTCAATGTGCGATGAAATATTACAGATATGCTTACGCATGTTTTTTTTTAATGCTGGCAGTCACGTGTACGTTTGTCATAATTTTTTTTACTGTTAATAAAATTGTACGGAAGAGACAGTTTAAAGTAAGATAAGTAAGTCGGAAAAAAAACAGCACAATTAATATCTATGTGTTCTCTCCTCTCTCTGCTAATAGTTAAAATAAAATAGATTAATATAAAAAATGATAATAAGTTAAATTAAAATAAATTTAACGATGTCAAAAATGTTCGTCTAGTACTCTAGTTTTAAGTTCTAGTTATATGACAAAAATCGTGTTCACTCAATGCTCGATGCATCATAAAAAATCAGCTATTTTCAACGTCCAACGTGCGATGAAATATTAAAGATGCTACCTATTGTGCACACTTCTTTTTAAAGGTGGTCATGTGCACGACTGTCATAGTTTGCATCGTGCATCATTGATCAATGATGATGCGCAACGCAAATACAATGTTATGAGATACCCGGAAAAACGCGAGCAAAGCGCGAGGAGCTGAGAATAAATGATCTTATAAATTATCTCTAACAAACTAGGTCTTGCTATCGCTACACTTAAACATGATACAAAACACATAAATCAACACAATGCAATTACGGAAATTCGTTTGGACTCTATAAATCACATACGTCTCTAAATTGGAGTACTTCGAATTAAATCATCTGAACCGTTTGTAAAAATAAAACTTGGCAAATCTGATCGAAATGATAATAATGATCCTTTTCTCGTATCGCAAATAATCTGAAAGCGAGAACAAGAGTAATTTTTTAACTTATTTACTCGTCGACGATGCAGCCGAAGTCCATTTTCACGGTGGCCGAATGGTGTTTCGATCAGGACTACCGGCTATTACCTAGCGCGATGATATTTTGTAACTCTTTCGGCGGCATATATCGCGAGACGAGGGGTAGGGTTCCGCGTAAAACAATTGGATACTTGGGGGTTGGATTTTTACGTTTACGCGGAAACGTGATTCGGATCGCGAGAAAAAAAGGTCGATACACAGGAGGTGTTAAACAGAAAGAAATAATGATATCTATTATTGGATGACCTCCGTCTGTCTATCAAAAACTACGTGTACGAACGCCATCGACGATAAAAAAGCGTAAATGGTCGCAGAACTTTTAATGATTGGCATGTCCCTGATAATTTAATGCGCCATTTCAGATTTTTCGATGAATTGTATTACTATTACAATTGCCTACTCCGTAGCCATAAGTTTATTACTGCAACTTTCTGACGATCGATCGAAATTACTTTATATTTTTTTGTCGCTGTCAAGGTAATGGTCGATACTCGATAATTTGATGCTATTGTAATAGATTCCAATAAGTAATAAATAAGCGACGCAATTTAATGCAAAAGTTTCAAAACAAACAAAACAGAAAAAAATAGGTAAATATTTCTATTATATGCTATAATTTTACAAAACACTACGTTTAGAGTGTTTTGTCAAATATTTAGTCAAATAAATTTGTAATTTTCCAAACTCAGAAGCTGATTTAAGCATTTTCTTTCTACTTCATTTTCTATTTTTACTTTTTTCACACCATCATATCGCTTTAAATTATTTCAATTGGTTGAATTGCATATGTCGGATTATTTAAATTGCAACAATTTTACTACCAAATACGTTAAAAGATAAGAAATGCACGTTTTTCGCATCAAATACGCGACGAACTCGACGGAGACACACGTGTCGTATTCTATCAAATGAGAAATTCGAAAACGAATCGTATCCCTGGCATCACCAAAATATTATCAAAGTGAAACTTACTCGTTGGCTCTGTTATTTTGCTCCACGACGACGGTGAGAAATTCTATGTTGGCGGACTTAGCTCCACTGTTTTCCATGTCGTGAAATGTTCTGGACGGGCCGTCGGCGAGGAGGAGCGCGAACGACACGGGCACGCGAGCATCGAACAATTGACAGAAGCCGACCGCCAAGCCGACCGCGCAGCCAAGGCAAGGCAAGGCAAATCTGCGACAGCGCGGGGTTACTATGCGTCGGGAGATGTCATTAGTGCGTGGCGGTCTAATTCTCTCTCTCTCTTTCTCTCTCTCCTTCCTGAACTGCTTACATAAATATTATGAACAAGGGGGATGCGTGTAAAGCGATGACTCGGATTAATTCACCCGATATCTTCGTCCCCGAGAGCCGTCGATAAAAGTCGCTCCTGTTCCGATGCACAGATGTGTGATGACGAAGTTGCTCCGATTTCATACGTCCATCGATCCACGAAATCAAGCGAAGCACGATAAACGATGATAAAAGAGCGTTTTATCGCGAGAAATTAGTCTATATTTTGCGCGACCTCGCGCGTCACGCTCGATCCTCGATCCTTGATTGAAAGATGGTCAATGATGAAGCGCAATTATTTCAAGCCTCTGCCCGATCGTCGCTCCATTATTCCCATTCGATAATCGAAATCGAGGATTGTTGGATTATGGAATGTTTGGGTTACAGAAATGTGTCGAATTTCTTCGTTCGCCTCGCTCTGATTCACTTCGCGGCCGCGGCGTTCAAAATAAATTCCCACGAAAGACACAATCAATCGTGATTAGCGCCGCGCATGCAATGATCTGTGCTGAAAAATATGTCGCAAAAAATGTCGTTATTAAAAATGGAATCGGGTTTATCTACGAGTAAATTTATCGGTACATAACAGTTACTGTATGCACAGATAAATTTATTTAAAAACTAAATGTATTAATATGGATAAGCAGTTTAGCTTTAGCTAGATATTTTCCTCTCTTTCCTCTACTATACCATACAGAATAAAATATCAAAGATATCTTACAAATGTTACAAGTTTATTTCTTATAACTATCATAGTAGACAATAATCAATCACAATTGGCTTAATAACATGAACAGAATTGTGTGTTCATGAGTAACTGGAATACTGTACTCTCAACAATTAGATTTAAATTAATTAAATTCATTGGACTTTACCGACTTCTTGCTTCGACTTGATTTAAAGAAGTAGCAACTTTGCGCGTTCGCTATATGAAAAAACGAGATTATTTTAAAGTCCATAATTCATGATTATATATGAAGTGCGGATCTAATAAGAATAAGTAACAAAGACCTTCAGCTTCCAATATATCCTTATTTCTGAGAGTTTACACGAGCACCAGTGGCAAATATTTACACATCGAGTGCCAAATGTCAATTACAAAAGTGAAATATGGAAATTTTTACGTATTGGCGCTTGTTAATAAGCGTAAATAAAGATTTCTTTATACAGAATTTTATAAAATTTTTTCAATGATCGGGGGTTTATAACATCCCTCAGATCGTCGCATGTAAATGTAATTTACAATTCCACGTGGCTCGAGACATGATCAACAGTTTCTGAAACAAAGAAACAACAAATGTCTCGTGAAAAAAATATATGCGTATATATTAGAAAAAGTACAAATTAGAAACTTGCACATTGCTTTCTCATCATTACAGATTGCTACCATTGCTCCTATTTTATTTCGCTCACAAAGCTCCTTTTATGAGGAAGCTTATGGTATTTTATTTGATGCATAATTATTAGTATTTATTAGTTTGGCTCATAGAGGAAGCTTTATGAGCGAAATAAAATAGGAGCAATGGTAGCGATCTGTAATGATGAGGAAGCAATGTGCAAGTTTCTAATTTGCACGCTTTTTCCATTTAAAATTTAACCTTTTTATAAATTGAAAAAGGGTTAGCTTAGTAGCACAAGTGGGGTTTTTACAATTGATGCAATATCAAATCGATGTTGACTTTGAGAGTTCAGGCTACATGGTCCATATATGGACTTCGCATATGGACCTTTGATCGCGTATAAAGTTGGATTTAATTAATTAAATTTTAAATAATTATATATGAAATAGGGGTAGAAAAGACTAAAAAATATAATAGAATTAGAAATAACCTGATATCTCAAAATTGGCGGAAGTTAGAGCTGTCAGAAATTTTTCAAAAAATTCAAAATTTTATAAAAAAGGAATCCCTGTATCGATCATCGCCAAATTCAATACCAATTTTCCTTTAATAATACTCTACATTTTTCAAAAAATTGAGCCCGATATCTCAAAAATTACTGAAGTTAAAGCATAAATGGACAACAAAAGCGTTACATACACACAAACACACACATACACACGAACATTTTGTACAGAAGTGATTTTTCGACGTTTTAGAACATTCTAAACACTTTGCCAAAGATAACTAAAAAAATTTTTTTTCACGAAAACAAAGCCTCTATGAGGAAGCAAAACATATTGCGGAAAACATACCACTGTCTTTCTCCGTCTGTCTGTTGGCATTCTCTACCTTCTGTTGCAGAGTTTTAATTTCTTCGTCGTAACCCACCCATTCAGGCAAGATACGCATGGCTGCTTGCAATTTCGCTTCTTTAGTCATCGGATTATTACACTATAACAGAAGAAACAGGACAGAAAAAGATATATTACCTAGTAAATCTAAATTGTTAGAAATATTACGACATATTTGTTCTTATGATATAAATGAGAATACATACTAAATCTATAGTTTTGGCGTATTTCTTAGACGCATCGTCGCACCACGTTTCGCACCACAACCACTCCTGTGGTAGCGTTTTGATGGCCACTTGATGGATCATATTGTTAGGGAGATCCTGAAGCCATTACCGATTATTTCACAAAACGCGAAAAAACAATGATTATAATAATTAACAAATCTTCTTTATATTCTTGCAAATTTAAATTATTTAAATCATTCAAATCACTCGTTTCACGTACTTGATCAAGATTTGCTAAGCTATTTGGATCTTGACTCAACGCCTGATACTGCCCACGCAACCTATCTCCGGCGGCGATACGACGGAATCGTTTGAGATCGACCACATATAGCGCGCTAATATGGTAAGCACGACCCTGCAAGTGATTTCTCCAATATCCTTGCTTCCAAAATCTGAATCCATCCATTTCGACTCTGCTTTCACAGAATGGCGTGTATGCGTAAGGTGCGCCGCCGAGATCCATAGTTGCCAGTTCCTTCAAATCCGCTCTTACCACCTATACAAAAAACGATAAGAAATTTAAAAAACACGTGAGGTTATTAAGAATGTATATTAATATCGCCACATCTCAAACAGCTTGCTTACCTGATCGGCATCGACAAATATTATTTTCTTAACGTTCAGTGGGAACAGCACATCGAGAAACAGGATTTTATATCCCCAAATAGTCCTCTGTTTCTCAGTTTGTTGATGAAGCCAACGAGGCCATTTATATTGAACGAGTTCATACTCAAAGCCATATTCTTTAGCCATATGTGGCAGAAAGTCCTGTATTATAAAGAAAGATTTTGTTACTCTTTTCTTTTATTAGAGTTTTATAGAACAAAATTTCACTGTTATATGCCGTACTGCTGTACATGTTTACCTTTAGCGTTGGTGAAAGATAATTTTTTAAGAACCAGAATTTGACCGGTGTTTTAGTGTGTTTAATAACACTCAGCATCATGATCTTCAAGAATCTCTCGTATAGATGACCAGAGGCAAGAGAAAAAATATTTAATTTCTCATCTTTGTCTTCATTTTCGTCCGTCGCCGTAAATGTCCTAGTTTTGAAAATATAGCAAAACATATATCAAGACTTATTACAAGTTTGAATTGATTTAGCTATTTTACATCAGCCAATAAAGTATCCCAATTAATACAAGCTACATTCTTAAAGCAGTTAATATGTTAAGTCAGTTAATAGAACGAATCAAAGACAAGAACACATATTGGTGACTTGGAATTACGGTAATGTCAATGTGAATGAACTAATGTAATGGTTCGCAGTACATTAAGATTGCAGATTAACTGGATGTTAGAATTTAAAGCCACGAATATGTTCTCCGTTATAATGCATATATATTTATGCTTGGTTTATCTTTATGGAATATGTGTATGTGTGTACTTAATTATAGAAAATTATGAATGTACTTAACTACATAATAATGAGAAGCTTACCAAAATTTGGCAATGCTAAAAAAGAGAGAACAAATAAAAGTTAAAGTTCGAAGGTAACCGAATACCATGCTACGCATGTTAAATACTAACACCCAGCATTAGGAAATTATTGAGACATGGAATACAAGTAATTCAATCAATCGAATGTACCTAGAAATGGAGTTCCATAATCCAGAATCGTTCTCGTTGTCCGACAAAAGATCCATTCTCGCCTTATCTGGCTTCTTGGAAACCTTCACTTTCAACACGTGACTCCTTAAAGAACTTATCAGGACTTTCACATCGTTGCCGTTCTGAATAACGTCCTGTCCGTCAACAGTGGTAAAGTCGTATATTTCTGCGGATCGTCCTTGCCGAAGTCGCAACACCCATTCGCCGGGATTCGCCTTGAGTTGGAAGTACCCTAGATTGGCCATTACTATAGTATCAACCATCACGGGTTGTTTTTCAGTGCCCAATGTGAACTGAAGGCCTCTTGGTGGGTTTCCCATTACTGCTTCAAAACAGTGACCCTCGAGCAGTAAGTATTCTAACTCAAATTCACTGAAACAATACAAAATAAAAGTTAGCAAAACTAAAATCAAATTTATTTGATTGAAATTTATAATAAGATATATTTCAATATTTTTACCTATGCACGCCCATCGCGACATTATCGAGCTTAATATTATCTAAATCATAAACACTGCGCACTACTTCTACGAGCCAGTTCTCAGGTGCGTGAATGTATTGCGTTAATAGTGACGAAGTGGGAAGTTTTGTAAACCTTGCGATAGAACCACTGATATCTCCTTCTGGTGTGAACTGCAATTCAGGTTCGAGCACAAATCGATAAAAGCTGGAATAAGAAAGAAAAATAGTTCACAACAAAAGACAAAAGAATTATGAAGAAATTCGAGCATTAATTTACCTCTTCAATGGCATATCGCTATTTTTGTCTACGCAATTCAAAAATACTTTTATATTGCAATTTAGGGCTTGTTGTAGTGTTTTCAGTATCGGACCCAATTTTTGAGCACCACGTGAAACTGGATCTACAATGGCAATAAAGTTGAAGGCGACTTCATCGGGATTGGCTGCTGGAATTTTTATAACACTGCAAAATAAAACAAACATTCTTGTATGTAATGTTCAGCAATCAAACATTTTTATACATATTACACTTCATTTTTTACTTATGTATATTTCGCAAAAAATTATTACTTTACCTGTGATCATCTCCATGGAAAGGAACATCGTACCGACTTCGAGTTTGTGTACGTGGAACTAAGAGTGAAGTGATTTTCATAATCGTATCATCCGTAATATTATTTTCTTCTGTACAAAATATTACAAACATTTAATTATTTTTACCGTACAGATTAAAAAATCTATGCTTTTTTAAATAATAGAATCATGAAATACCATATTCATCTTCGTTGAATATTTGATCTTTTATCAATTTCATGAATAATTTCTCGCCATAGGTGCTCTGGCTAAATCTTTCTAATAAAGAAAAGTCTTCACTTGTAAATTCTTCACTGCTATCCAAGGGGCCGATAATACGGGCATTACACAAAACTGCTCTTGTTCCCGTCTCCATGCTTAGGACGGTTTTAACGTAATGTTGATGCAACGATAATATCGAATTTTGAGTCTCTAAGATTGCTGCCACAGATTCGTCCTGTAACAATTAAATTACTAATGAAGTAATTTTCAGCAATACGTATATGTATGTATTTTGTAGACATTTATCTTACCTCAATCTCAAAATTACCATTAGCAATGAGAGCTGCATTGTCTTCTTTCAGGATTTTACGCAAATAAAGTATAGCCTTTTCCGGCGGTAATGCACTTATTGCAGCAAGCACAATTTTGTTAATATCAGACTTGAGATTTGCGTCATCCTTTGCATTAATAATAACACTAACTCGCGCATCAGTATTTGATTCCTATAAAAAATATATAAATTTTATATATTGTTATAGTACACATATATATGAAGTTTAGTTTTAAATTACATACTACGTATTCGAGGGCCTCTCGTAGTAATTGCCTGCCAGACAACAATTTCAAATCAGCTACCACCCAGAAGGAATATAAATGACGCATATTGCGACGCGGTACAAAGAAATAGTGCATTTTCTTCATTAAATAAGTTGACAGATTTTGAGAAGACCATTTAGTATAGTCGTCATCTTCAGGAATTGTGCCAATTAAATTTAACCACGCATTTTTATCCACCTTCAAAATACGCTCGTTTAATCTAGAATGCGAAATAATCAATGTAATGGAACCTATTATATTAATTTAGAGATTTAATTATAAGAGTTATTATGAGAATCACGTACCGTGGCATGACATTTGGTTGGTTCATGAGAAAATCAATGATGTCGTCTCCTTCTGTTACTTCCCCTCGATACACTGCTTTTTGCAACATAGGTGTCTGTGTCATAATAGTAGATAACACTGCTTCTTCGTAAGATTCAGAATTTATTTGATTAGGCGTCAAGGGTACACCGTTCAACAAAGCTTGTGGGAACTTCTTGAAACCACATCGTTTTATAAAATCGCTAGCTAAATGCCGTCCTACATCGTACTCTGATTCCTCACCAAGAATGTAAGGTATACTAGCGGACGAGTCTTTGGATCTGATAACTTTTTTTACATCATCTACGTCAGCATAATTCCCGATGTAATTTCCTAACTGGAGCAAAAACAAGTTATATTTTTTAATTAAAATCACAGATCAAAATGCTAAATATAAAGCTTTACCTCTGACAAGAAATGTAAAGCCTCTTTCGGACTTCTAGTGTCTGCAAAATAGTGATACGCATTGTTAGCTGCGACACTGGCATCCATTAAACCTGTTACAGATGTATTATAATTTGTCACAAAGACAAATCCTACCCTCAGTGGTGCAGAATGCGCATAAAGAGATTGTGCTAGAGTTATTAGTGGCATGGAATCCTCACTTAGAGGATCAATAATTAATACCTAAAAAAAAATCATGTGTTAATTATTCCACGTAAAATTTGCATTATTATCATTTCTGATTTTTAGAAATACTGACTAAATTATATAAATTTCTTCTAATATTTCTGAGCATCCCAGGAAACGTTGGCCGTAATAATTCGGTTAACGACGGCGACCAATTACTGTAGCGTGGATCATTCTCGATATCGTTGATCCAATTAATTGCGGAATCTCTTATGTCCATTGCAAAATTTTGATTATCCGTACCTCCAGATAAATCCAAAGCTAACAATTTACTCATCTTTTTATTACTAAAGCCTGAAATAATTCACAAAAATATAATCTTTGAATATAATCTTGATTAACATATTGATAATTCGATATATCTATTTGTAAATCTTACCAATTTTATGAAGAGCTTCCATCACTCGTAGCTCGCTCCTCAAAGACTCTAAAAGTGTTAGAACATCAATAGCTTCCAGGTCAAAAAATAAGCCATTGATGAAAAGCGCCGTATCAGTTGGCTGTATATTTAGACTCGCCATGAATATTTCCTGATTCAGTTTCATTTCTTTCTTCATATCGCTATTTACTTTAGTTCGAATTAGCGATTTTGCCTATAAGAACAAAAATAAATCAACCATTACATACCCATATAAGATACAGAATTCATTTCAATACGCACTTGCATAGGAAAATTCTGCGATATATCGGTCAAGATGTTTAATGCTTCTGCAGAAGGAGACTTCATTATCCTTTCAGCTGCCTGATGACTCAGTTCTTGAAACTGCCATACTTTAAAAGCGCCAATTTCGTGGCTGGTTTCCAGTAAATACGTCTGTATTTTATCCAATTCAGCTTGTTGATCTGGATGCAATTTCCTGAAAAGATATACATCACAGTGATGCAATGCCGAGTGTTACGCATAGATACAATTCAATTCAATGGCGCAACAGTCCAAGTCGGACTTAGGCCTCCCCCAAAGTCATGTGCTTGTGGTACGCACGTAGGTTGTACACAAGCACATGGGACCTACAGTTTTAACGCCGAATCCAAACGGCAAGGTAGAGAGGGTTTCTAGGCAAGGGATACCTGACGGGCTGCCATTCCGTCGAGGAGAGACAAGCGATACAATTTATTTATTTTGGTTCTACCAGGACTGGATTCGAACCTGAGATCTTTGGTTTAGCAGACCAGGTTACGCACAGATACACGAACTAAATACCTTACGTTCTTACTAACCGCCTTACTTTAAAGTCATAAAGTTGATTCCTTCAATTTCTTCCATGCCATCGTTTGCCACTTCCGAGTCTTTCCCTGTGTTGTCTTTAATATCGGAATCGTCAGTCGCTTTGTACTCTGTAGATTTCATTTGCAACTCTACCCCATAGCCCGATAAACGCAATCTCTTATCCTCCCTCTCCTGTAAATTGTTTTAGATATGAGAAACACAATTCTTTATACTATATGTGCTGTCTATAATGTATTTTTATTACCTTAACATAATGACGAAGGATGTAATTGATCCCTTTTGTTTCCGCTATGTTTTTTAGCTTCTCATGAAAATCGGAGAACGTAGGAGTCCCAATCTGGCCGTATAATATCATCACTTTATCGGATTCTGGAGTACTTAAATATCGATGATCTACATCATAGGTATCTATACTTTCCCATGTATCCTGGAAAACAAATAATACAATTACGTATGTGAATTATATTGATGAATGTCAGACAAGATACAGTGAATTACCAACCTGCTCGAGCAAATTATCTATATCTTCTAGAGAACAAGTAAATGTTCCCCCAACGTTAACAACATTGTTGCATCCGTACAAAGAAACATTTTTATTCACAGCCATTTGAGAGAACATTTCCACGCGTGAGGAATAAATACGTAAAGACAATCCTAACTTAAAAACTGCTATCTCAGATTCGGACAGATACTTTTTGGCCAATTCCAGAATAACGTCATAATTCTCCTTCTGTGTAGCTGTTTGGGATAATTATAGAGGATGAATGTGACTGTGGCACATACTCCGAATTCAATTGAATCACAATACAATTACCCAGTACAAGATTGCTGATCCTTCTGGAATACGAGTCGATAAACTTCCAAAAGTAAATTGGATTCTCATCGCTAAGATATTCAGCTGCCTCGAGAACGAGAGGCGTTTCGTTCCATTTGGCATTTATTAAAGTCGTCACGTATTTGTTGATCTTCTTGTCGGCTCCAAGTTGACTGGAGCATAACGCGAGTATATAACAAAATATGAGTCCCTTCATCTGCAACAAATATGGAAGAAATTATCAAGTACATGTCGTCAACAAATTGTTATTAAATCTCTCGTTGGCCATAAAAATTCGCGAAGAGAGACGTACGTTTTCAGGAGGGAAGTCGAGCGAGTTTCGTTGGCAAAACTTTGCGAATTTTCACTGAGACTTACTACAAATCGCATTTCAATACACGTGACAGTCACGTCGGATACACCGAATGATAAGATGCCCGATGAAATCTGTATACGTACAACGTTTAACAATCACTGATAAGGCGGTGCTATGGGGTTTGCGATTTCATCGATGGCCAGACAAAGGACGCCTGACACTTTACGTACCTCCGTAAGAGTTAACTAAAGTTATCTTAGCTACAAAGAATGCATTGATGACTACAGTCGGTCCATTCGGCGCGCGTGCCACATGCACGATATCTCGGAAAGGCGATCGAGCTTACGAGCGCTTATCATGCGGCGAATTTCGGGGTGACGGGTGACGTATTGTCGCTCCGGTAGTCCGTAGTCCGCTGGTCCGCTGGTGGCACAATTGGCGGCACTCTCGAGTGGTCTCGAACCGTCATCTCGGTCCGGTCCAAAAGCCGCGCGAGCGTTTCCATGGAATGACGCGACGAAACGGCGACGCGATTCCGGATTGGTTGGATCCCGAGATTTTGTCCAAATGTATATAAGCGAATCGTATCAAATACAAAATATATTATGCCCGTGGCGCGTGATATATTGATGATTATTTATTAAAAATGTAACTTTACATAATGTATTTTTGTGATATTAATAAAGTTCAATTACTGTATAATGTGTATTATACTGTAGCAATAATACAATTTAATTGCATATTTTTAGTTAAATAATTGTACGCTTTTATTAGCTATCCATTTGACTCGCATAGTATCACCGGAACCAAAGTTGCATATTCAAATATTTCGTCATTACCACATGTAGAACGTGATAGGCACAGAACAAATTGATTTCGGAACGACTGCAGGCGTCGCAATAATTCATTTAATTAGTAAGCAAAACCTGCATGTATTTATTTCTTGTAATCATATTTAACCGTAGATCGCGTAGATTTAGCACAGTATAAGGGATTTAGCATGCATATTTGGCGCTTGGGAATTGATGATTCTTGAAAATACATATTTCGTGGTACTTGTTCGAGCGAAGGCGATTCGCGCGGGCAATCGCGATCGCGAAAGTGACGATCGTATTTTCGAATGTCGCGAATATCTGATGGATATCTATCAAGAATATTAATATATTCGTTGGAATGCAAAATAACAATCGTAATAAAAGCATTAATAGCATATTATATAATACATTTTCTACTCGAAGTTCGGAAAATTCATAAGCGCGAAGTTAAGAGCGAGACGCGTACATTATCTTTTATAGCAACACGGCGGCGCACTTGGCGCGAGAAGTGCCCGCGTGGGAGACGAAGCGCTGGCGCCGCCGCCATGTTGATTATGTGCCCCTTCCACTTCCATTTCCAGAACGCGGCGGACACGGGACGAATCGGCTCCGGAACGAGTGGCGTCGCAGCTCGTTTAACTGGTAAAAACATCAAGTATTAAAGCTTGCATTCATTATTTACTGCAGTATTTGTCGCGTAGTACACATTTAGCGCTTCGCGGTATTGATAATTCCTGAATATACGGATATTTTGCGGTACTATTGTTCGGCTGATGCGATGATGTGTCGCGCGGACAGTCGCGAAGGTGATGATCATATTTTCGAATGTCGCGAATATCGCGAATATATATCTGCTAAGAATATTTTAATACGCTTATTCTCTTGAATGCAAAATAATAATTGTAGTAAATATATAGGCGGGCATATACTCGAGAAATGCATAATCGCGAAGTTAAGAGCGGAACACGTAGTGACGCCCTGGCGGAAAAAATTTCTATGAATAACTACAAAATTTAACTAGAAATAGAAAGTACATTTTTGTTAAAATATTTAATTTTTTGTAGAAATGGTTATTTTTTTGTAGAAATATCTACGAAATAGTACCACAAATTACAATGTTCTCAAATCAAGAAATTATTGCAAGTAGTATTTTATAAAAAACTACAATTTATAAAAAATAGTACAAAGATCTACAAATTTTAAAAATTTAAGAAGAAACAAAATCTTAAAAAATTAAAACATCTGCTTACTTGTAGAATACTACAAAAATTTACAAAAGTGTTCCAATTCTAGCATTTTCATGTAGAATTTTGTAGTACTTCTTAAAGTCATGTAGAATTTAATAGATTCTGGCAATTATATTTTATAGTTTTTTAAATTTTGTAGAAATATTGGTCGCCGCGCCGTATCGCTTTTGATGCGAGAAGTTAAATAGATGTATGTCACTTATGTCAAAATAACAGGATAAAGCTGAAATTTACAGAGATTGTGTACTTATATATCCCAAAAACCTGTGTTAAATTTGCGATCGATTGTCCGACCCGTTTCTGAGATATTATATTTACTTTAAAAGTTACAGAAATTGTATATACATATATTACATATAGATATAATCCAAATAATTATTTGGATTTTTTGTAATCTATCAGGGCCAGAACATTTGATGTATGTACAATTTTTTTTTAACGAAAATATTTTTCTTCTTGCTCATGCGTGCGTAGGTGCGAGCACACGCATACACGTCACGCACACAACACGCATACATATACTGCAATTACCTGGTATATTTTGGACATCGCATATTCGGGCCAAGATATCGAAAAAATGAGAATAAAAGGAAAATGACGAAGAAGAAGAGGAAAATGACAAAGAAAAAGCCGTCCTGGACCACGACTGATGAGTCCATTCCAGATCAATTATTGAGTCCACCTTTCTTTCACTTATATTATAAAAAGTAGGATTTCTTTCGTCGGACGACATCTTTCGTCACAGTAGAATCTTCAAATTTGTCTTCTTTTATGTCTCTTATTGGTACTTCTTTCTGCCATGCTTAAAATCACAGTTGAGAAATCTGTTAAAATGTTTTTCCGTCTTCTAATAGTTAATGTAGAATTGTAAGAAATAACGTTTTATTCAGCAGTAATTCTACGCACTCCTCTCATCACTTGTGTAAGACTGTGCTGAATGATACACAAGTTGAGCGTGAAACCAAAGCGAATGATAAGCGGAGATATATATGATAAATAAAAGAAAAAAAATATATAACGTAAACTGCTGCTGTAGATTTCGCCTATCTTAATCTCATTTTGTCTTTAATACAATGTTGTTATCAAATTAATTTATTTCTGAAAATTATACATTTTACGATATATTACTTATTGTCTTAATATACTCAAAATGTACTTAATATAAATAAAATTTTGATTTTTTACTGCTTTCTTGGATATTATGTATGATCTTTTCTTCTGCCTCTATTTTTTAAGTGTATAAATGTTTTGCACAGAAACACATATAGAAGAGATATATGAAGCATTCGGTTCTCCGAAAATTTCGATAAGCGCACGAAACAGGCCAGCGTTGTGCGCCATTCTGCTACGCACACGACTAACAATTAACAATAACAATAAGCATTAAGAGAAGCGCGCGTTTAGCAGTTTTGAATATGGTGCGTATAAAACGTTGGATTACCTTTCGCCGTTGAGTCACATGGATTATACACGCTTATTCGTACATTTTATTAACCCTCTATATAGCTGTATACGTGGGTCTACGGCGTCCGTGCCAAAACATCTGCAATATATATATGTATAATGTATATATATATGTATATATATGTATGTATATATATAT